AAAAAAAAAAAAAAAAAAAAAAAAAAAAAAAAAAAAAAATTCCCGTCCCCATCCTATCATTCTTCACCAGAGCTTTCAGAGCAAATAAACTGAAAAAGCAGGCTGTTTGCAGTAAAACTCCAAAAAACAGATAGTTCCCAAAAATGTTTGGTCACAGTTCTTACTCCAGGTAGCAGCATATGATTGGGGAAGGAATGGTGCTTGATATCATCTCTGTTAACAAAAATCTTTTATTGTCACTTTTTTTTTCTTAGTATCGTCGTCCTCCCCGCAGTCAGGCTGCCCATCACCCACCATTCCAGCAGGTAAAGTCATTTCTTCATCACAGAAGCACAGCAAGAAGGCCCTAAAGCAGGTAAGCATTGCTAGTCTGTATTTATCAAGTATAATCTTTCACATTAAAAATGCACACCTCTGGCAGTCATCAGATATTTCTTGAAAGTTTTTTACATTGGGCCTTTGTCAGTGGAAACTTCATGCAATAGCCCAATTTGGTTTTAGTAATTTATGCACCTCTTTGTAATGCATGTTATAGGTTTTTGTTAGATATTCTTTTTGTCACATTTTTGAAGTGTCTAATTTGTTCATAGTTTGCTCAGAATCTTTTGTTTGTATGTATTTTTGTTTGTTTGTGTTAAGACAGTGTTTCACCGTGTTGGCCAAGCTAGTCTAGAACTCCTGACCTCAGATGATCCGCCTGCCTCGGCCTCCCAAAGTGCTGAGATTACAGGCGTGAGCCACCGTGCCTGGCCTGTATGTATTTAAATCATGAATAGGTGTTGAATTTTTCAGATTTGTTTTCTTTGGGATTTATTGAGATTATCATGTAGATTTTTCTCTTTTAATCTATTAATATACCGAATTACACAGTTAGATTTTCTTTTTTCTTTTTCTTTTTTTTTTTTGAGACAGTTTCGCTCTTGTTGCTCAGGTTGGAGTGCAGTGGTATGATCTCAGCTCACTGCAAACTCCACCTCCAGGGTTTAAGAGATTCTCCTGCCTCAGCCTCCTGAGTAACTGGGATTACAGGCGCCTGTCACCATGTCTGGCTAATTTTTGTATTTTTAGTAGAGACGGGGTTTCACCACATTGGTCAGGCTGGTCTTGAACTCCTGACCTCAAGTGGCCAACTCGCTTCAGCCTCCCAAAGTGCTGGAATTACAGGAGTGAGCCACTGCACTTGGCCTAGATTTTCTAATATTACACTACCTTAACTTGGCTGGGTGCAGTGACTCACACCTGTAATCCTAGCATTTTGGGAGGCCGAGGCAGGCAGATCACCTGAGGTCAGGAATTCAGAGACCAGCCTGGCCAACATGGTAAAACCCTATCTCTACTAAAAATACAAAAATTAGCCGGGTGTGGTGGCACGTGCTTGTTGTAGTCCCAGCCACTTGGGAGAATGAGATGAGAGAATCACTTGAACCCAGGACGTGAAGTTTGCACTGGGCTGAGATCATGCCAGTGCACTACAGCCTGGGCGACAGAGCAAGACTTGGTCTCAAAAAATAAATTAATAAATAATAAAAAATAAATGAATTTACACAATCACAGCAGAAGTAGATGTAGTCAAGTGGTTCTACTAAATTTTACATTGACCTGAAATTCCATGAGTCCTGTGAGGAGCAAGGAATGAATACTGGTGGCTGCATCCCCAGGAAGTCTATGAACATCTTCTGATCTAATTGCAAAGAATGAGAGAATAAGCCATAATCAATGGTCAGTCAGTACTGCCATTTTATGTACTTTGTGCCTCTGCCTCACCTATTATAAATGTAGATGTGGCTAAGCCAGACACAGAGCTCTCTCAGTTGCTTTTCTGCATTGGCAACTTAGAGTGAGGAGATCAGTTGTTGCCACTGTGCCTGTAGTATAGCCAGAGATACATGTGAAATGTTAAGCAGGAGGAGACTATATTGGGAAGAGAGAATAGGAAACCAAAAGTAGCCAGTTATTCCATACTTTTCTACATGATGGTCTTAAAAGCTTAAAACTGGCAACTTAGCAAAGTCAAACTTCAGTATTTTTTCTGAAATTACTTTCTTTGTTTCTTTATCTCTTTGCTAAAAAACCTTTAGTTAAAAGTTGCTTTTGGCTGGGCGTGGTGGCTCACGCCTATAATCCCAGCACTTTGGGAGGCGGAAGCGAGTGGATCACGAGGTCAAGAGATTGAAACCATCCTGGTCAACATGGTAAAACCCTGTCTCTACTAAAAATACAAAAATTAGCTAGGCATGTTGGCACACGCTTGTAGTCCCAGCTACTCGGGAGGCTGAGGCAGGAGAATTGCGTGAACCCAGGAGGCAGAGGTTGCGGTGAGCCAAGATCGCACCATTGCACTCCAGCCTGGGTAACAAGAGCGAAACTCCGTCTCAAAAAAAAAAAAAAGTTGCTTTCATAATATTTTTGTGATTAAAATTTGGATATTTCTTTTTTTTCCTGTTCATTTAAATAATATTATTGAGTATATTCTATAAATTCAGAACCTCATAGAAATCAGAATGTTCTGAAGTAGACAAAAGTAACCACACCGTTGTTAGAACCAGTGTTGTCTAATCTTCCTCCTCTGTTTACTGCATTGCTGTAAATTGCTGAGATTTGATAATTGGGACACATCTCATTGCTGTCACCCAAGATAACTGATGTAGTTATTTACAAACTTTTGTAAAAATATAGTACCTCTGAAGCCTGTGTAAACAAAATATTTATGTTTCTACATAGGTTTGACGCCGATAGGGCTCTTTTTGTTACAAGGCTTAGAATTTCGTTTCTAGAAATGATTGAAAGCATATAGTCTCTGCCTACAAGACTGGGAAGTTTTTGGCTTACCTAGTGATATTTTAAGTCCTAAAAAATGCTAATGACTATTTTTCACATTTACATAAAGGAGTGATATTGACAAAAACTATCCAAACTGTAAGAATCATTCAGGGTTTGTGTTTAGTTGGCTTAATTTAAACTGATAAGAATAGATACTACACTTGATCTTAGTCAAAAGGCCAAAAAGGAATAGTTGGCTTAATTTAGGTTTTTGTTTGCTTTGATAGATTGCAAAGATATTGAATGATCAGCATACTTCTTGCCATTTAAAAATTGTCATTAAAATAAAAAATTAAGTCATTTACTTTACATTATTACTAAAAAACTGATTTGTTTTGTTTCTTATAGTCTGTTTTATCTTTATAGGCACTAAAGCAGCAACAGCAGAAGAAGCAGCAGCAGCAGCAGCAGCAATGCAGGCCAACCATATCCATCTCCTCCAACCAGCATCTCTCTCTAAAGACTGTCAAAGCAGCCAGTGACTCTGTACCTGCCAAACCTGGTAGGCAGTTTGGGCATTTTTTTCAGTGGAAGTTTATTTTTCCTAGTATTTTTGTGTTGGTTTTCCTAATTTATTTATGACTTTTTTTTTTTTTTTTGTGACAGAGTCTCTCTCTGTTGCCCAGGCTGGAGTGCAGTAGCTCGATCTCTGCTCACTGAAACCTTCGCCTCCCAGGTTCAAGCAATTCCCTGCCTCAGCCTCCTGAGTAGCTGAGATTACAGGCACATGCCACCATGCCCAGCTAATGATATCATTTATTTTTAGATTATATTTATTTACACAATCCTTGTACTGCCAAAACATCAATATAAATCCTTCTAGGATAAATGGGAAAAGTTGTATGCAAAATAATCATGGAGTTATTAAAAAATGCCTCAGAGGTTGCAGTGAGCCAAGATTGTACCACTACACTCCAGCCTGGTATCAGCGCGAGAGCCCATCTCCAAAAAAAAAAAAAAAAAAAAAAAAAAAAAAAAAGCCTCTGAGCCTAGGAGTTTGAAACCAGCCGGGGAAAAAAAAGGGGGCCCCTTCCTCAAAAAAAAAAAAAAAAAATTAGCCAGGTGTGGTGGTGCACACCTGTAGCCCCAGCTACTTGTAAAGCTGAGGTGGGAGGATTGCTTGAGCCTGAGGGGTCAAGACTGTCATTAGCCCTGATCTCACCACTGCACTACAGCCTGAATAACAGAGTGAGACCTTGTTTACAAAAAAATGTTACTACTGGGACTGCATCTAAGAAGGAAATCAATGACTGGCTTTCAAGATGGTCTAATCTAATAATATTTGAAAACCTCTAATCAGCAACCTTAAAATCTGATGTTTCCAAGAGGCTCAAACTAAATTCTTAGCCAGTTTTCTGTAAAAACATGTTTTCCTAAGAATACATACTACTTTGAGTTTCCTTTGGACATGTCTATAAGGCCTTTGGATCTTTTGTCATGGTTGCTTGTTTTGTTTCTACTCTAGACTTTCTAGTTACAGACTTTTACATAATTCCGTTTGATACCATAAGCTGATTCTATGGGCTTGCCAGACTCATTCTGAATCTTACAGAACTGCATTTTTATGAGAAAGGAAATTTACCACCATAAGCAAATAGTATACTGGGAGGAAAAACAGGGTATTATTTTACTCTTTGACTTTAATTCTCAAACTCAAAACACATTAGGGAGGGTCACATTGCCTCATACATAACTTCATTTAGTGAATGTTGAATGACTGATTGATTCTGTCTATAATCTCAGTGCTACCAGTCTTTACATATTTTTTTCTCCTAGCAATATGGGAAGGAAAGCAATCTGATGGACCGTCAAGCAGCCCTCAAAACTCAAACTCCAGCTTTTCTTCGTCAGTTAAAGTGGAAAATCCTTTGTTAGGCTTGGGGAAGAAGTCATTCCAGAGATCTGAGAGACTCCATACAAGTAAGTTTGCTTACAAAGACTTCAGTTTTCATTGCCATGGTTTATCAGCTACATGTTTGAAATTCATCAGCTACCTGGCTTAGGTACTTACAACTTAGATTTGAGTTACGTAGCAAAGGTTAGCCATAAGTTTTGTTTTTGGTAACATAATTACTTTTAAGAAATGAAAAGTAACAGGAACAGAATTGGTTTAATATGTCTTTCTCCTGTTATCCCCTGTTTACCTTTGAGCTCTTTACTAGTATTCATGTTCTTCCTGTCTTCCTCTTAACAAACGTTATTTCAGAGAAAGATCTATTATCAGCCGTTTTGTGGTTTCTTTCCCTTTCTGCCAATAGGTTGCTTTGTCCGATATTATTCATGTTTTATTTCTGTGTAAAGAAAGAAAGAAGGGTTATAATTAAATATATATGACAACTTTTTTTCTGAACCTTTTTCTGTTTCTTCTGAAATTCCACTGAAATGAGAATATGGAAATACAGCAGATAAAATCCATACAGGCTAATGAAACAAGGAGACTACAGCTGGGCAAGTGATGTCAGCACATTTTGAGAGATGAAAACTGGATAGAATTTTTCACTGAGCTGAAGAGCAGTTGCTAGGGATAAGCAAGCCACATAAGGCTGTAGAACCACCAGGAAGGCTCCAGAATTAGAGATACGTGTTACAGAAGAGAAGCGGGGAATCTTGTTCGAAAGTTAGTAAGAGGCAGTTTGATGCCTTACCCAAGCAGAAGACAGGAGGTTTATTTCGAGGTGAAATTTGAACCAGAGAAACTCCAAATTCAGGGATATCAAACATATCAGGGCAGATGAGGAGGCACTGTACTGAAATCTGGAAAATCAAGTAAAATGTAAGTACTGAATAGGGATTCTCCTCCTGGGCTTCCAAAATGCTAATAACAAGGCATATTTCTAACACCGCTACCTTCTGCTTCCTCCCAACATGCTCCAGCTTGAGATTGGTGGATTGGTACCTAAAGACATTGAATAGTCTTAGAAAAAACTGCAGGCAAATGTATAGGTTCCCAGCTAAGTAGAGATTATCTTGATAATGTTTCAGTAAAGCTGAAGAAATTTCTTAGAAAAATCTGTCAAAGTGAAAAAGAGGTTCATATGAGAGAAAAAGAAAGAAACTTAGAACACCAATCTAGGTTGTACAATGTCTCACCTAGTAGGAGTATCAGAAAGGAAGATAAGAATGTGATGGAAAGAAACACAATAAGAACATTATTTAGAATCAAAAGCCACAGAATTCCAGATTAAAAGTGTGTAATAGGCATTAAGAAACATGAGTGAAAAGAAACCTATGCCAAGGCACATTCTTTTTAAAATATCAAAACATCCAGGGTCATGAGAAAGTAGCAAAATGCCTCCAGAATGAAGAAAAATACTGCATATAGAAAGATTCAAGATTCGGGAATACAGACATCCTTAGCAGCAACATGAAAGCTAAAAGTGTAGCAGTGCTGACACATTCTGAGGGAAATTTATTCTGTATTCATTTACATATTCCAGACTGATCTAAACTATTAAGTGTGAGAACAGAATTAACAGTATTTCAGACAAATGTTTTGTTTAAAAAAAAAAAAAAACGGGGCCGGGCGCGGTGGCTCACGCCTGTAATCCCAGCACTTTGGGAGGCCGAGGCGGGTGGATCACGAGGTCAAGAGATCGAGACCATCCTGGTCAACATGGTGAAACCCCGTCTCTACTAAAAATACAAAAAATTAGCTGGGCATGGTGGCGCGTGCCTGTAATCCCAGCTACTCGGGAGGCTGAGGCAGGAGAATTGCCTGAACCCAGGAGGCGGAGGTTGCGGTGAGCCGAGATCGCGCCATTGCACTCCAGCCTGGGTAACATGAGTGAAACTCCGTCTCAAAAAAAAAAAAAAAAAAAAAAAAAACTTAGTTTGATTCTAGAGGGGAATGTACATTTTTCTTAATGGTAGCATGTCACATATTTAAACTGAATGTACCCTTTGATCATCAGTTTCACTGCTAAGGATAAAAATATTTATTTATTAAACAAATATCTGTCGAAGGTATGTTAATATGCCAAACACAGATTGAGAGTCCTAGGGCTATGGTGATGAAAAGAACAATATTTCTTCCTCATGGAGCCCATATTCTACTTAAAATCAGTTAAAATTGCAGTTTTAGTAAATTCCAAAAGAAATGTAGAGGTACAAAATTGGGAAAGTATGGACCAGGAATTTCTAACTTTCATGGAAAACTAGGAAAAATTAAGCATAAAAAAAGAAAGCACTGTTTCTTTTTATTTAAGTTTGACCTAATGGCTGAGAAGTAAGCAAAAGTCCATCGTCTTTCAAGCAAATGAGCATTAAGGGAAATAGTTTGGGAATTTTTGTAACATAGCCACAATGACTATTTTCAAAACACATGGAGGAAGTTGTGTAAAACATAAATGATAAAACTAAATTAGCTAATTTATATAAAATACTTTCTACCTGACACTGTTTTCATTTTTATTTAACTTCTGTAAAATTGATAATATATAATATATTTTTACATCCCAGATTTGGTCAGAAGAATAAATATAACTCAGGTTTCAAGTATAATATAATAGATTAAGGCAACCTAAATTGAAAACACTTCGGTTAAGTCATCTTTACTAAAATTAGAGGACTTAAACTGACCACTTTGGGCACAAAAGTATCTTCACAGTAGAGTTTGATCAATACTAGAAAATAATTCACAACTACTTCCCAGTCTTACTTTTAAAAAGTTAACATTTTAACTGAAGTTTGACTGCAATATGCAGGTACAATGAATGGGTAAATAGTGAAAATTAGTTGAGGAAGATTGACAGCCCAATTCCATTAATTCTTTTGAAAACCTGTTGCTTTTCAAAAGTTTATAGAGACATTGCAACATTATTTGTATCAATACAAACAAAAGCCTGGTAGCCATTTACCTTTGTCATCAATGGTATTCAATTTAAATTAATCATGATATATAGCAAGTTTGCCCAACCTGCCATGGGCTGCATGTGACCCAGGAAGGCTCTGAATGTGTTTAACTCAAATTCATAAACTTTCTTAAAACATTATGAGGGGATTTTTTTGTGATTTTTAATGTATTTGCCTATTTTTTATAGCTCATCAGTTAGTGTTAGTATATTTTATGTGTGGCTCATGACAATTCTTCTTCCATTGTGGCCTAGGGAAGCCAAAAGATTGGACACCCGTAGGGTATACGTTGGAATATGATGCAGCTTTTTTAAAAGAAAGAAGATGAATTTGTAGGTGATAATTTGAAAAATGTTCAAGATATTTAGTGAAATTGAAAACTAAATATAATTAACATGTACATTGTGATTTCATGACATCAAATTTAAAATGTCATTTCTGGCAGGAGGGTTGGGGTTTGAATGTAGAAACCTTCATTTTTCATTTTGCATCTTTACCGTTTGAATTTATAGACAACATTTATCTCTTAGACACTGTTTTTATTATCATTCACCTTGAAAAGATTTGAAATTTTATTGTAATTTATTCTTTGTCCCAGGAGTTACTTTGAAGTTTTTTTGGTTTGTTATTGTTAATTTCCACATATATAGAGATATTTGTTTTACCTTTTTATTATGAAGCCTTTGGTCAGATATCATGGACTGTGTGATGCTTATGCCTATGTAGTATATGATAAACAACAGACTTTAAAATCAAAACGTCTAAGTTTAAATTCCTACACTAACTTAACAGTGTAATTTGGGCATTATCATATCTGGGCCTTATTTTCTTCATCTGTAAAATGGGATAGTAATAGTTACCTACTTCATAGGCTTGTGTGAAAAAAATGAGCGAATATATGTAAATGCTTAGAATAGTGTCTGGCACTTAGGAAGCCCTATATGTGTTTGCTGCTGCTGTTATTGCTGTTACTGCACTACTATTATTCAAAATTTACTGAGACCTACTTTTTTTGACCTAATAATTGAATTTTATAAATATATTCTACTTGTTCAGCACAGAATTTTATACTTGTTGGATCAAGCTTGTTAATCTAAATCAGCTTCCTTTTTTTTTTT